AAGTGAGGCCTGGTATTTGTTGGTTTCTATGCCATTCAGGAAAATAAAGTGCAAGGAAACAATTTTTTGGTGGTGGATTTTTTACCTTTCCCCCCCCTGCTTCAGCACTGCCAGGCCACTCTTGTCAAGAGGCAGTGGCACCACTGTAGAAGATTGATTCACCCACCAGTACTTGTGCTCTCAGGGACCTTCACTGATTGTCAGCTGAATTCCCACCATATAGCTAACCAGGAGCAGGACTGGAAAGAGGGCAATAACATTTACCTAGGAGACTCTCACTACCAGCACCAACAGGCGCCCTCGCTGTAACACATGCTGCACATCTAGTTGTGCTGCTTAACTGTAGCATTTCCCCTGATTAGGTTGAACAGCAGCAGAACCCAACCCAGCCGGTGCAGTTGTCCTTTTGTGTTACTCTTTACTATGTGGGACCCTCAGGATCCAACACCCTTCCTGGGTGAGAACCATGTCTCTTTATGTTTGTGTTTTACATAGAGCATTTTGGCTCTCCACGCACTACTGAAGTCTAAAACACCAGGGTCCTTAACCTTGCCAGAGCATCAGTACAAAGGCAGCAGTAGCCTTCTCCAACATGCAAAGGTTCACAGAAAAAATTACTCAAACAAGATTTAAGCAACCGAACATGCGGAGGAACAAAACAGACATCCAAATGGCAAGTGGAAAGAGCCACAGTTAAAAAACAAACCACAGCAGTCTCAAAAGAGAGAAGTAACAGTCAAATATCTCTCCTTCTGAAATTATTTGGTGCCCAGCAGTTTGAGGCACTTCACACTTAAGCAGGCACGTGCTCTTCCATGGCCCCATGTCTGGCTGGAGTCCTGCTGTGAGCGGTGTGAAAGGTTTCAGACAAAGGAATTCAGAATTTAGGGAAGAGTAAGATAGGACACAGCTTACCCCACTTGCATAAAACCCCTTCCTTCCAGAAATGCAACCGTTCTTTTCCATCCTGCAAGGGTCTGTGATGCAACTTGGGCTGGGGAAACTGGGACGGAAGCACCCACTGGAACATCGCCCCCCTTGCCTGGAATGAAGGGAGAGGTGGCAAACAGCCTCACCACCTCAAGTGGCCACAGAAATCAATCCGAAGATTGCCAAACCCCCATAGGAAACAGCAGCGGTGAGCCTTGCCAGAGCCAGGCCTGGCTGACAAATGGGCAGGGGGAGAGCGAGGCTGCCCGGCCCAGTGGAAGAGCTCACAAGCAAAACGCCTCAGCCATGGTGGAAACGTCACACAGGAGGGAGAGGGACACTCTTCTCAACTGCCATTAATGTTAATTTAGGCTACTGAAAACACAAATAATTCCAAAACCAACTGACAGCAGATATATAGAGTACACACTAAAGCTCAGCAAAGGTCAGGCCCCTGCAGCACAAAGCCCAGCACAAGCACACAGGAAGACCCAGCTCTCAGAGCTCAAGGCGACAGCACCCTGACTCACACTCACTATTACTCAGTGCAAGCAAGAGCATCCTGGTCCAGCGGGTCTGAACTCGCTGGCTGCAGGTTTGCAATAAAAGATGTCTTCACCCACAACCATTATTCCTGCAGCGGCTCAGACAGTTGAACAGCTACATAATGAGCATCAAGACCATTTTTCACCCCTTCCCTTTTTGGGAGCTGGTCTCACCCTCCTGCCTGCCTATCCATACTGCTGTGTTTCAGAGAGGCAAAAGGCAACAGGAGAAGCAGACCTGACCATTTGTGAAATTGGGAATTTAGAGTGTAAGTTAATTGCTAGAAGCAGCCCCTGGAAGCAATTTAGACCACGTAAATGTCTATTCTCTTCTGGCTTACCACATAATGAAATACAATTAATTTGTTGTGGCTCTTAACTGCAATACACAACTTTCCTATATGAAACACTGAAAACATATTTTTGCCTCTTTTCTTTTCAGATAAGTGTATTCTTTTGAACTCTGGGACTTAGTTTCCTGTCTCTTGCTTGCATTGATTTTCCCCTTTGAACTCACCCGTTGAGCCTATCAGTGAGTTTTGGGAATGTATTATTCATAGGGGGAAAAAAAAAAAGAAAGTGTAAAACATAAGTTTTGTGTCATACTGGCCTGTCTATCACCTCAGAGGATTACAGTTTCCCTTTAATGCCAGCTGGCTCTATTACAGTAACTAAATAAATGGAATATCTTGGCCATTTTAAACATCTGCTGTGCTGCACTCCTGCCCAGCCACCTCTGACATGCATGCCAAGGAGGGAGCTGGCAGCACGAGCCAGCAGCTGAGGTGCTTTTTGGGCTGCTTGAGCAGAGGACCCCAGCATTGCGGCATGAAATGCTGCCAGTGCCTTGGCAAGCTGGGCCTGGGCAAGCTGGGGCGGATGTACCCCATGCATGGTAGTATCCAGCCAGCTGGCAGATCCCACGTGTGTCAGAAAGTTGGCTGGATGGTTTTAAAGAAAAAAATCTTTTCAACAGCTGTTATATTATTTTCTTTCTAGGTTAGTCTTATTCAGTATTCTTTTATGATATCTCTACTAAAAAAAACCCAAAAACATGCAGATGAGAAGCAGCATGTTGGAACAAGCAAATAAAAGTGGTTTGCTTTCATCTGATTTAAAAGATTTATCACATGCTCCAGGTTAATCCGTTAAGCAACATTATTCCAACAAGGTGTGGCCAACACTTTTATAATGTATGAAACACTACTTTCAGATTTATGTGCTCTCTCTCTTTATAGTCCATATGTTGTGGATATCACAAACTGGTGTGACACAGACTCTGGAAATTTTCTGAGACTCCTATATTGTTTTTTTGTTTTGTTTTCTTTCCCCAGTAGGGAAGTCAAAGACACAACTAGATACCCATATCCAATGTACATTCAGATCTGTCTGCAGCTTCAGATGCACAAATATCTTTTCAAATCTGATTCCATCATTTTACACACCTTATAATGCATTACAGATGTTTTCATGCCTTAAATCTATTTAGAGTGCTCTATTACTCGGAGGAAAAAATACTGGAAACTTCCACTATCCTACGGACAATTTAAAAAAAAATTACCCTTGGCATTCTCAGCAGCCACTTCCACTGCAGGTGAAAACAGACATACAGGAGGTGGCTTGGCAATGGAGTGAGGTCGAGGATTCAGCAGGGAAAATCTCTGGAATTTTGACTCTGAGCAAGCATCTAATAAGGTCTCTGCTAGAGAAGCACTCCATTGACTTACATGCATATTTCAGTGCTTTTCTAAATCACAATTCACCCAAACATAGCTGACCTATGTTTCACTATTAAGTTTAGAGTAGGACCCAAATCTTATACAGCAAAGGCAAAATCCATTCCTGATGTGAACTGGGGTAATGCTGGAGATGAATTTGACACAACTGACCTGTTTGGGTTTTCTCTCTTAAGGATGGAAAATGCAGAGACTTGAGGAGCACACCTTTGTCAACGTGCAAGAGCAGCACAGCTTGCAAATAGAGTTGCATGAGTCTTGCAATCTTTCACCCAGGGCTTATTCTAAAAACCTCTTCCTCCCCCCATCAACTGTAACAAAAGTTTTGCTTGAGGAAGGAGCAAGACCCAGAAGAGCTGCTCTCTCACTTGTGTTGCAATATCCAATCTGAGTGTTACTATCAGCTTTTGAAAACTGACTATATAGAAAACACAGATGATGTTTGCATATTTTAATTTTAAACATCTCTGCTTGGCATAAGGATGGAACCTAATAAGTTGCTTTGTTTCTGCCTCATGAATTAATTCACCTTGGTAACTGATTTGGATAAAGCATTTTGATTCCAACTACTAAATTTGTTTTCTGGGCAGGCAAAACAACTTTTGGAAGCAAAGTAACAAGTTCATTAGCTTGCCAGGAGAAGTACTTTTATAATATCTTTAAGGAATAGATCTTTTCTTTTTATAACCCACTTGTTCCACCCATGTCTTTTACATCAATCAGATAAATTCACCTTGTTTTTCAATGCCCTGAATTCTGATAGCTCTGCACACTTGATAGGTAATTTAATCATTGTTGGCGTGGATGAACACAAGCTCAAATTAGCTTCTGAAAGGCTTAGTCGCCCTGTAGATAGCTCTGCCTTTCCACTTTTATGCAGGAACTGAGCTTCGCCAACTGGTTAGCTAGAGGTGTCATTAAAAATTTACAGAAAGAAACAAAGGTGTGCTCCAGCGTCTCTCCTTACCCTTTCTACTGTTACTCTGGCAAACAAAAGGTATGGAACCTGCTTCATGAATGTAATGTAATATGCATAATGCATTTTTAATGGCACGCAGTAATAACATTGAGAGAGATATTTCCAATCTTCAGACTTGCACTGCAGCCTCTCAGTAGCCTGTTCTGATTCTCCCCAGATAAATCTTCTTTTCTTCATTTCAATTCCCCACCTTAAAGCTATGTCTTTTCTCCACAGGTAGCTGCATTTTACCTAAGCCAGCAGCTGGCACTCCTGCAAGAGGGGCTGGGGAGGTGGGAACACCTTCCCATGCAGCCACACGTGGACATTTTGGGGCAGTTTGGGCCTGAGCAGCAGCCCAGCACTGGTCCCCTGAGACACACCAGTGAGCTGCAACACGCTCTGGCAGGAGACACACTTGAACCAATACAAACACCGGAGTTTCTTCCCATAAAAAACATTCTCACCACCTGGGCTGCATCCACGCTGCCTCCCCGGCTGCCCGCCCCAGACAGCAGGGCAGCACTAGGCTCAAACCACACTAGTAGCCCTGTTGGAAACGGGACACTCCAGGGGAACAGGCACACGTTGCTACTGTCATCGTAAAGGCAAATGCCAGCAACTGAGCCTGCTCAGGGTCTGCTGGAGTGAGGCCTGCTCAGAGGGAGGGAGGAAGGCTGTGCCCGGCAGGAAAGGCCCTCCTGAGGGCAGAGGAGCTGGCACCCAAGCCACCCCATGCCCAGAACCCTGGCTAGCACTCAACTCCATCCACACCACCCCTTTTCCTGTAAAATAAATACTGAGCATAACCCTGGGACACCCCAAGCCTACCTGTGCCACCTGATGAGCCGCTCCTTGGAGGCTCCCCTGGCCCGGGCAGGGCCCAGGACATCACAGGTCCTCCCCATCAACACTTAGTGTCCTACACTGACCTTCTGCATTAATTAATCCAGCATAATGGGCCTCATGTGTGGTCATCAGAGCACCTGGCACCTTCTGTGGTGCCTGTGCCACAGCCTCTCTCACTCACTGCTGGGCTGTTCAGTAAGAGCTCGGTGTGTGGGCAGCCCTGCCTGGCAGCAAAGCCCTGCCCAAGTGGGTTCGCCCTGTGGGGATTCGCTTCAGCCATAGCCTGCGATGGCGACCTGTGGGGAAGCAGCTGAGGTTCTCAGGGGTGGCAGAAAGCAGAAACACAGAGGGACCTGGGTGCCACCATGGCAAGCAGAGCGCCACGGCCCTCGGGTGGGAAGGGTGCCGCAGGGCTGGGCCAGCCCAGCAGGGCACAGGGGCCTCTGCTCACTGGGTTTATCCAAAATAAAAGTACAAAGCTGAAAACAAGAGTATATACCCATGTGGGCACAAGATTACATGCACATATAAAAGCCCAGGCTGCCATGCTGCGCTCTGCTGGGAAAAGGACAAGGGAGCCCTCCATCCTCCTCCTGCTTCTCTTTTGTATGGGCTGCAACTGCCAGATGGAGTCTGCCCTGCTGACAAGGCAGGCAGGCAAAAGGCAATGCTCTGAGTCCCAACAGGCTTAAGTATAAATGATGCACCTGCTGCTCAGGTGTCCCTGCAAACTCCCAGGCACAGACATTTAATCTTGTGGGGGGACATTCAAGTTTCTCCTGGGCTAAGCAGGGACTTCTGGCAGTCTATACTTCCAAAGCAGACACTTAAAACCACTGTTTCTCCTCTAAACCCTTTCATGCTGATAGCACTAGGCCCAGTATACCCCAGTCTTCAAAAGTGTAAATGTTTAACTGAAATCAGTGGGAGCTGGACAAATATATATGGCAGTGGTGTTCTCCAATCACTACAGACCTTGTGCAAATTCTGTCCTCAGATTCTGTATTCCTGACAATCTCTGTATTGTTGTAATGGCTGACATTCACAAATGTGCTTAAGTTAGATATTAAATAAAAATCATTCTGGACCATCCTCAATACTTTATTAACTTAAAACATTGTTCCAATAAATATGTGCCAAGAAACATAAGACACTCTGTAAACTCTAAATAAGGACATTTACAAACCTGTCAACAAAGTAAAAACAGCTTTTTTTTTTTAACTGAGGTACATGCAGGGTTGTTTAAGGCAAATTAAGTCAATTATACTTTTATAATAATTCCTGCCCACCTCAGAAAGTTTCCCTCTAAAAATTAAAAAACCAAAACCAAATATACAAATGATGCTATTGAGTAGCTATTTTCCAGTTATTAGAACAAGCCCAGAGTGCAGAAGCCTGTAATGGTTCTGGACAGAAAGTCTGTGCCTTCCTTGTGCTCCCGCCTTTCTCAGGCAGGATCACTTGTTGGACTGGTTTCTAGTTCTAAGGCATAATTCTGTGCTTTGGCTTTTCCAGTGGTCTTTTCACAAACTTCCTTCTCCCCACAGGATGTAGGAAGAGGTAACCCCCCCATACCTCAAACACTCAGGCAGTCAGGCCTTGCACGGACAGAGAGACAGTTCTGGAAGGACAAAAAGGGCCTCTCTATAACTGATAATGCAGCTCCTGATTTGCACCAGAACAAGTGAGAGCAGACTCAGACCCAAACTGGTACCTTTGCTTAAAAACCAGAAAGATGTCAAACTGCACAGTCCTGAAAGGAAACCATCCAAGAGTGAACCCATTCAGCACTGGACTTAACCAAGGCAAGTGCTGATGGCTCTCTGTCATTGCACTATGTAAACACTGTTATACCCATGTTTTCCTGCAAGGTGATTCAAGCTACTGAATACTTGAAGGGGTTCATCATGGCCATGGGAGAAGTATTTTCCACCTTACAGATATTTGGTAGCTTATCCATCTTTGGAATATCAAGGCTTCATATCTAAAAGACTTATTTTCCAGTGTTATTTCAGAGACAAAGAGGAGAAAAGAAAGAGAAAAATGCCAGCCTTTAATTTCTACTTTCAGTCATTCAGGTTGAGCTGTCAATGCATGGCTCTGTCCTCTTCTTTCCTCTTCAAGCTCTGTTCAGAAAGATAATGCCAGGGTTTGTGTTCAGGAAATGGCTTGGGTCCAGCAAGGAAGCCAAGGGAGTCTGTTCTCATAGTGTTGTAGGCTTTCCGTATTGCAGATGAGGCTCATTTCAGGCCATGCTGTGTCTCCCGGTGTCTCCGTAAATCCACCTTTCGTTGGAAGCCTTTGCCACACAGATCACAGCCAAAGGGCTTGAAGCCTGTGTGCTTCCGACTGTGGGTGATGAGGTTGGAGCTCTGACTAAAGGCTTTTCCACACACCTGGCACTTGTGAGGCTTCTCACCTGCAAGTAGAAGGTGGAAAAATGAGAGAGGGTGTGAAAGAGGCATCATGCTGCTTACATGGGACCACAGCGAACAGCAAATGCACACTGGGCCTTACAGCTTATTAAACAGATTCCTGTGTGATTACCTAAGAAGTCATTCTTAAAAAAACACGCAGTTGGGAGCCTCAAAGCATTAGTTGAGCCTGCACTACAGCTGAGCAGGTCTGGACTTGGATGCACGTCCATCACCCCAGTATAGTCCTGGGAGCAGTCTGAAGCACAGAGTGCTCTCAGGATACCACACTTTGTGAACATATTTGGCTGCATGGGCTCTGTCCAATTTAAACTGGCTTTGTGCTCTAGAAACGTGAGGAACTCCTTGAAAAGTGATGAATGCATGACATGGATTACTATACCATCAGCATAGGGGCAGGGGGAATAGGTAGGTGGAGGTTGTTAAGATCAACCCAGTGAGCTGGGATCTGTCCCCAAGGGAGGTATTAGGGCCATTCAGTGAGCCCTGAAGGGCAGGGTTTATCCAAACATCTGTTCTTCTCTCTGTTCCCCACACTGAAATGCTAGCAGTCACAGCCTTGAAGTTCTCCTGAAGGCAAATAATGTAAATGAGAATAAATGCAGCCTCTGGAACTTCTACAGAGCACTCAGTGGCAAAACTCCACTGGCCTCCATGGGAGTAGGATCTCAGTGTGTTTTCATTGTGTTTATTATCAAATAACGAATAAAAGGGAACCCAACCACAATACCAAGTCAGTTTTTCAGAGTGGCTTTGCACCTGCAGAGCCCACTGACTTCAGCTGGAGCAACAAACTCTCTGGATGTTTGAAGATCAGATTCTTAGAATCGTAAAATAATACAAAATTTGCTGAAGTCTCAGTTCACAAGTGTATGCTGCATATGAACGGAATCCCTGATTCAGTTAAGGACCTGGTTTTATATTAGCAGTTTAAAAGCCCAGGCACAGTTTCTGATCTCACAACAAACTAATGGGTTTGACTGATTCAGAATTTGGCTGAAATTCTACTTAATCAAGCCTCATTTGAAAAAGTTATTATGGAAATACTTGTGTTACTTCTAAATAGTTCATTTTCATCCAGCAACCATCTAGTGGAAAATCTTTATAAGTAACATTTATTGTTCACTGCTTATCACCTAGAAAAGTCACAGTCAAGCAGCACCACATATAGTGCCATCTTTCTACATATTTGCCATTTTTAGGCTTCACCCTCGATATCTGCTAGTGGACACATCAGGAAAAAGGATTTTTGTTATCTGAACCTTGGGTTTGGCCAGTAAAGCTATTATTTCATGTCTATAAATTCTTCCATATCTCACACATCATTCATTTCCCTCTACTTTAAGTGAACGGTGCAGGTCTGAAAGGCAAGATTTTCTTTTAATGATTTCTGATAAACCTGCCTTCTCACTGAATGACATTTTTAAAACAATTTCCTTTGGTGATTCACCTGCACTTTATTAGTTTCCATGTTTATTACTAACAGTGAAACTTGAGAACTCTGCACCTCTCCTTCCATTTTGTATCAAACTGCAGCCATTTCTCAGAAAGTCCGGGTGGAAGTGCAATCTCTGAACAAATATTTAGACTAAGAGCTGGATCCTCAGCCCTTCAGTTTAGTGTTTGATCTAGAGGAGGAGACTCCTGTTGCTCCTATTGTAAATTGGTAGATCCTGCAAAAAGCAATGCTGCAATCAAATTCATCTGTCATTTTCCAGGGACCTCAGCTGTAAATCAAGGCTACACGAATATAATACTCTACAAATCATCTTACACAAAAGCCCTTTGAATAAACATTGGTGGATCCTATTAAGAGAACACTGATTGGATTGCTAGGATTTGGGTTGTTTTGCAGCTGCTGTTCAGTAAACCACATTCAAATCACCCTCCTTTGCCCAAGTACAGCTCAGACAGCATGAATAGCAGCGGGGCAGTGAGAAGCACCGGGAGATGTGTGTGTACTGTCCCAGCTGAGTAGGAATGGATTGCTGCAGAGAAACCTCTGCCTTCGTGTTGGGGCTGAATACCAGCAGCTGCAGGGCTGACCTGTGTGAATGAAGGTGTGTTTCTTCATATCAGATTTCTGGTGGAATCGCTTCCCACAGTACTGGCACGGATAGGGTCGGGTGTCCGAGTGGATGAGCAGGTGGGTCGACAGAGTAGAAGATCTCTTAAAACTCTTGCCACAGATCTTACAATCAAAGCTGCGTTCCTGCAGAGAGATGAGCACAAACACACACATTACACCACAACGATGATCCCATCAGCAACAAACTACCCAGCAGCACATCGGTGTTGTCCCTTCTGCCTTAGCAAGCACTTACACTTCTCTAGAGAGCTAAACTGGCCTTCAGAGACACTAACACTGGCCTGATAGCACCACATGATAAAAAGAATAATGAATCCTCTCCCAGTGCTGTGCACTGCTCCTCAAAAAATTTAATTGAACAGCTCTTCCTGCTGGAAAGAATAGCCAGGTGGGGGCAGCCCTGATGGACCAGGCAGTCTGCCTGCACATTTTAACAGGGGCCCGAGATGCAATCACTCTACTGGGAAGCCAAACAGCTGCAGCACTGTTCAGAGGCCACCTCTTCACTGTACACAGGAAAGTGGGTGCTAAGATCTGCCTGGCTCTCCTGGGAAATCCCTGTGGCAGACTGAGTTCTGCTGGCAGGGTAACAGCTAACTGCTTATCTGTAGTTCCATTAAAATTCAAGTGAAAGGTATGCAGAGCACCTGGGAAAAACAGCTTTTCAGGTTACTACTTTAACATATAAAAACAAATGCT